GTGGTGAGAGAAAAAACTTACACAAGTATGTCGGTGGAGCAAAATGGGCAAAAGATGAAACAGAGACGCCACTAAAGGCTATATCAAAGCCCTGACTTCGCACTACGCAATCTATGCATGTAACGAAATTGTCACGTACCCCATAAATCTGTACAAATAAAACTTTAAATAGAGCTTTATATGTAAACCTGTAAAAGAAAGAGTATATCCCAAATAGAAAATAAACATTAAGAAAAAGTCCTCAACCTCATTAATCATCAGAAAAATCCAAATAGAAACCGCAGTGCTCACCCTCGCTACTCACCTGCTAGAATGATGTTTTACAACAAGGACTGGCAAGACGTGGTGCGTGTGCGCGTGCGCAGCAGCCGGAGTCTCCCACACGGCGAAGGACTGCGAACCGGCGCCGTCGTTCGGAAACACTTGTACGTTTGGGCTGTGAGTTTATTTGAGGATTTTTATCTGAGGCTGCTCACGTGTGTCTCAGAGTGGCCTGGCCTTCGCTCTGCGTGGCGCTCCAGGGGTCACCAAACCAAGACCATTTGGATTTCTCCGCAAGAGCTTTCTTAAACAGTCAGGGGAGGGTCAGTTTTAACTGGAAGTGCACATGAAGGAGCCACCAGGTGCCAATTCTCAGAAAAGGAACCTTTTCTAGTCTTGTCCAACCCACAGCACTTTGGTTTACTCCTTTCGCTGCAGGAGAATTTTGTAATAGCCTGCACTTCCCTGGGTGTTCACCCTTTAATGGCCCCAGCTCTCTGGAGTTTCTGCCCAGCGGATTCTCTTGCAAGACCCGCGCCTGATGTCCCGACTCCTGTCTATTGTTTAAACCCAGGTCCCTTTGTTTCTGACGCTGGCAAAGATCCCAAAGCAGCCACAGACTGAAAGCCATTTGCCATCTGCTTCTAGCTTCTCTCCGTGGGTGGGTTAGTGGATGAAGGTTCATTCGTCTCCCTTAGAGTTCAGCCTGCGCTGGGAAAGGGTGCTGTCCCTGTAGCCGCCACGCGGGTGACGGCCTCTGGGAGTGTGGCGAGGAAAGCCGACCCATCCTGGGCCAGTTCCCTGGGGTTTTGGGAGCCTGTGCCCTGCTCTTCCTAGTTTCCCACCTTCTTTCCTGGAGAATATTATCAACTAACTTCCCTAGAATAGTCTACCAGAAGTACATTTTCTGAACTCATGTATGTCTCATAATATTTTTATTTTTATCTCTCATTTGATTTGTTAGGAGAGAGGAATAAGAGTCAAAATCATTTGTCCCCCTGACCCCAGAAGATCTTCATAGATATTCCTTCCTCTGAAATTCTGAAATTCCTCCTCATGGAGACCAGGGTAAGTATGTTTCATCCTCCTCACTCTACGCTGTGCCGTGTTGAGCTAAAAACCCGCTGCTTCCCCGCGCTCCGGGGGAATCACTCCGTGGTTGTTCTTCGACAATTTCCTCTTCCGCGTGTGACCTCTTGCCTCTTTCTAGAATTCTTATTAAGTAGATTTTTATGTCATAGCTTGATTTCTACATCTCTTGTGTATTTTACTACTTACATTTTTGCCATTTTATCCAACACTCTAAGAGATTGAACAGACTTTATATTCCAACCATTTTCAAAAGTATCCTTGGACACTCTATGCAGGCACTGTCTTCTCAAATCAAAGTCTAGGTCTGTGTGTGAAGAGAGACAAAGGCCGCACTGGGGTCTTTCGGCTGGAAAGGACTTGTGCCTCTAACCCGCCTGGCCAGTGCGCACTGCTGACCTCTGTTTCCTTGGGTGCAGCACTGAGCTACTTGATCACTGTTCTTTCTCTAAGGTCCCTTCCACCTGATTAGAAGAGTTACTCTGGGATCTGGAAGAAATCCAAGCAGCTATCAGAGAACAGAGTTAATGAACATCTGGGGCAGAATTTCTGAAGGACAAAGGCCGAGGGAGCCCCCAGAAGTGGTTACATAACAGCAGGCGTTGCCTTTGTCAGGTAGTTCCCCTGCCTAAGGCACAATCTTGTATTTATTCTTCATTTTCGGGACAATCATAGCCCATTGCAATGCAGTATCCATTGGTCAGGCTGTGTTTCCCTCCATGCATATCAACTCAATTCCCCAGGTGGATTTCTGCAAAGAATAAGCCTGATTCCCTTAGGGGAGGTTCTGTTTTCTGAGGTCTCATGAGCAGGATTACAAACCGGTTGTCTTTTTGTGACTAATAATCTGGTCCTTGCCTGGAGCTCACTGCCAGGCCAGTTCTTAAGCTCAGTTCTCACGCTGTGTTAATTTGTACCCTCCGGCGATTTATGAGAGTTTGATTTCCACAGGCCCCTAAATCTACAATCTGGGGATTCCAGATATCTCACCTGAGCAAGGACGTAGGTTCTACGTGGAGGCAGTACAGAGATGAGTTGGGGCTGGAGGCCTCACCTGGAGGGAGAGTCTGAACTAGGAGAGTCATTGAGGGCAACAGAGAGAGAAGGTCACCAAGCGACGTCCTTCCCCACTTGATTCGCCTTCCCTCCTTGAACATTATCCCAGGTGCTCCGTTCCTGACTTGGTTCTCAGTCAAGGTGAGAGATGGGAGGAGGACTGGGGGCATGGGTGGCCCCAGATATGGTGGGAGCTAAGGGATAGTGTATATGGCAGGGGAGAAGTCAGGATGGGAAGGGACAGGAGGGAACAAGATGGCTATGCTGGTCATCCTCTGAGTCGGATCACCTGGTCCAAATCCAGGCTTTGTATTTGATACTCATTTTATTTTAGGCAAGTGGGATAACTTCTCTGCTGGGCTTCTTTATCTGCAAAATAAACACTGCCCAGTGTTTGCCAAAGTAATTGGCAAGTATTTAGTAAGTACAAAGTACTTAAAACAGAGACCTCCTCTTAGCGCTGAAGTTATTATTGTATTTTAAACCTCATAATTATTTTTTAATTAATTTTTCTTCCTTAAGTAATAATTTCTATTTAATTGTTCAGGTTTTAGTGAAAAACGGTATCACTCTGGCATCACCTGGTTCCAGAAGAGAACCAAGCAGAACCAAACCTGCACCACCAAAGTCTAATTAGAATCAGCCTTCACAGAGGGTTAGCCACACACGCTAGTCGTGTGTCAGTCCACCCAAGCTTCAAGACCAACATGTGCTGACATTCTGAGAAAATCAAGAGTATTTTTTTCCGTAGATGTCCCTCCACTTTGAACCAGACTCAAGAAGGTAATACCATGCTTAGCCCTTGAGCAGGCAATATCCATGGAATTTCAAGCAGAGACTGGTCCTAACAGGTTTCTTCCTTCACTCTCCTCCTCCTCCTCTCTTTCCTTCTGCAGTACTGAGCGGTGTCTCATGCCAGGTGCTATGTCTTAGCACTGAGATCAAAACGTCAAGGAAACAGTCAAGTTTCCCCAGGCGGGGTGGGATAGCAGGCACGTTGCCCAGGCACACGAGGTTCTGTGCGGGCCCAGGTGGAGGCTCTGTTGACAAAGAGTGCCAATCCCCCACCCAGTTATTCTGGGCGGCCCATTCACCAAAACATCTGTTGTTCCAATGCCAGTCAGCATTTAAGATCAAAACTAGATTTGTTTAATCTTAGAAATTCCATAAAGAGTGAGCTCTAATATAAACTACTGTCTTTGGGTAATAATGGCTAGTCGATGCAGGTCCTATGGACCTCAAGCACCATTCTGGGGCTGTTGACAGTGGAGAAATCCGTGCCTGTGTGGGGCAGGGCAGCGGTATACGGAAATCTCTGTAGTTTTCTCCCAATTTTTCTTTGAACCTGAAAATACCCTTAAAAAAAAGTCTATTAAAAATAATTCCCTCTAGAAAACTTCTGAAGGCCCTTCCCACATCAGCATCTGATGTGCTTTACAATGCAAGCAATCTTCAAAGGAATTACCTCATCAGCTGCTGCTCAAGCGGGAGAACTATCTCACCCAGGTCCCGAAGCCCAAGGGAGCAGACAGAGAGTGAGGCTCTGCTGGGGGAAGCAACGTCAAAGGGGCCGTGGGTGTCCTGAACAGCCCATGGGGTTAGGAGGGTGTCCTGTGGTCATCAGACAGAGAGAACAAAGAACATAAGAGACCAGCACCTCTCATCTCTTATTTCATTGTTTCAGGTTTGGAAAAGGAGGCCAAAAGTTAGGCATAGCATTTCATCTGACATCCAGCTCCGTAATTATAACCAGTGCCATTGTGTGCAAAGTAGGTATCAGCTGGGGTTATCACAACCTTTCAGATTTGAATAAAACTGAATCAAATGTGTGCCACATGAAGAAGAAAACCCTGACATCTCTTCAAATTTCCTACAGGCTCCTTAGGAGTGAGGGTTTGGGAGGAAGCTTACTGTCTCCAGCTCTGAGTTGCAGCTTCTGATGATTTCATTCGCTGTATGGTTCATGTTGCCAATCCGTGTGCGCTGTCCCTTCTACGTGCCAACGTAAATGCCAGACACTGCCCTGCCCTGCTCGTTTACTCCACAGTACACCCAACAGAAGGCTGTAGACTTTCCAAAGTTCAAAGATAGTGAAAGGCATTTACACACCAACAACACGCATACACACACACACACACACACACACACACACAATATTGACATGAATAATATACATTCCTGTTCTTAAAAGACATTCAGCCATTCTCGCCCTGGGAATTTCTCACCAACCACTATTTTTCAAAGAATTCAGTCAATTCTTTTTGACCCCTCTCCTCTGGTCTGTTCACATTTGCACCATGCCCCAAGCCATGTTACTGTTGCATGCAAGATTTTTAAATTTCTCAGCCTCCAGCCTCAGGACCTCACCTTTCGCATCCAAGGAATTTTCCCATAAAGAGAGTACTTCTCCAATAAATATTCTGGTCTCAGCTGCTAAAAAAATGTTTTTCTTTTTTTTTTCCTTTTTTTCCCCTTGCACCAATACTGATGTTCAAAGAAAGTATTTCTGATAAAGTTCTAAGAAAAATAAAAGCCAGCACAACTCCTCAGTATCACACATTTTTATTGCTTTCTCCACAGCCTCTAGTGCCAGTATGAGGGATCAGAACGTGGACAGAGGGAATGAAACTTTGACTGATTTCCTGCTCCTGGGACTTTTCCCAGAGCTGCCATACATCAGCATCCTCATCACCTCCATCCTTCTGCTCTATGTCGCCGCCGTCGCTGGGAATGCCACCCTGATCCTCTTGATCTGGAGGGACCTCCGCCTCCACACCCCCATGTACATACTACTCAGCCATTTCTCTCTCATTGACTTGGCCTTAATTTCCACCACAGTCCCAAAGATGGCCATCAACTTTTTCTCTGGGAAGAGAAACATCTCAAAAGTTGCCTGTGGAACTCAGATTTTCTTCTTGTTTGCCCTTGGGGGTAGTGAGTGTCTCCTTTTGACCATGATGTTCTATGACCGTTACGTGGCCATCTGCAACCCACTGAGATATACGGTTATCATGAACCCCAGAATCTGCCTGCAGATGGCCCTAGTGTCCTGGAGTGGAGGTGCCCTAAATTCCCTCATCAATACCATCTACACCATGCACTTCCCCTTCTGTGGCTCCAGGGAAATCCATTACTTCTTCTGTGAGATGCCTGCTGTCCTGAAGGTCTCTTGCGAGGACACTTCCTTATATGAGATGGCGGTGTCTGTCATTTGCATTGTGTTTGTTCTTCTTCCCTTAGGACTTATCATGTCTTCCTACCTGCTCATCTTCCTCACAGTCCTCCACATGAATTCACCAGAGGGCAGGAGGAAAGCCATGGCCACCTGTTCCTCTCATTTGGCTGTAATGAGCCTCTACTATGGACCAGCCATGATTATTTACATGACCCCTCACTCCTTTCACACTTCAGAACAGGAAATACTCTCCATGATCAACACCATCTTCACACCCATGCTCAACCCTCTTATTTATAGTCTGAGGAACAAGGAGGTGCTGGCTGCTCTCAGAAAATTAATGGGTAGAGGATTCTTTCTGAGGTAGAAACAAGCAGCCTCCCGCAGCTACAGAAACTCCAATCCACAAGATAGATGGCGAGCCACATTTCCATACTTAGGATCTAAGAAGTCAATATTTATCCCCTAAGGTATTTTCTTGACCTTAACTTATATAATAACTTAGCAGAACTGATGTGAGAATCTAAATACTTGAGACAGCTGCCGGCTGTGAAAATTAAAAAAAAAAAATTATTTAACTTCTCTGTGCCAATTAAGGAATTGAATTTGGCGTTGAAGGTCATTTCCAGACCTAAAATATTTCCTGATTCTGTTCTAAGAGTCTATGATACTGCTAGGGGATGTACCAGTTTCAGTCTCCAGTTCCTATTTTTTAAAATATGTTTTGAAGTTCCTACTTCAAAAGTGGCCATAACAATGCCTGCATCTTAGTAAATATTGAGACTTTAGCCATTATTAAGTTGCTCTGGGTTTTTGAGGGTGATGCTGCCCCATCTTTAGTAGAAGTGTGATTACCTACAAACCATCTATGTCCAGTTCATTAATGAAAGGACTCTTAAGGGGAAAACAAAGGACCTGCATATTTTGAACCAAGCCATCCTGAGAACCAGTCATGAGAATGTGCTCTTTAGCACACATTGCCATCTTCCCTGGGAGATCACAGCATCAGCCTCTTCTTTTTATAGAACAGAGAACTTGTCTCAGTTTGATGAACAATGCCTATGATAAAGCGGTGATGAATAGAGAAGCGAAGAACAGATTTGCCGGTCACAGCTATAGGGTACTGACATCTCCAAGCGAGGACAGGCTGCTACCGAAATAATCATCTCCAGTGGATTCTGAGTTAGAGACACCCCAATAGTAAATCGGTCTGTTCAAGTAAACAAATATAAGTCAAGAAATTTGTTGAACCCATAGCCCCATACTATGTAGACCAATAAAAGAAGCACACTATAGACTAAATATCTTGTGCTTCGCATGATGGTTTGGACATCATGCATCCACTAAGTCCCAAGTTCTCAGGGCCAGTCTGATGAAAGCTATTCTGGTCTACTCCACTGGGGTGTCCACAAGGATAATGGCGTGGGTTCCTTCTGCCTCGTTTTTGCCTTCTTCCCTGGTCGGCATTCTCCCAAAGCTCGTGGATAACAAATTTTATTGACTTAACACAGGAGGTTAGAAATGGATTTCATTCCTCAAAGTATATAAACCAAGGTAAGCCCATGTCCCTATATAAGCTTCATAACTATTAGTTTGAGTTGTTAATTTAATGAAGAAGGAAAAAAGAAGGAGGAGAAGTGTTCTTTTCTTTACTAGAGACATTTGCCCAATTTAAGCCACCTCACTTTAAAATGTGTTTTTTGACTACAGCTGGAAGTGGCCAAGGGGAAGGAGTCAGCAGAAGCTACCACCATTCTCACTTCAATGAAGAATGTCTTAGTGGTCCTCAAAACCCAAAAAAGAATATCAACAGCCCAACTCAATCAACATGTCTTTCCAACACATTCCACACTCAGAGAGTTATCTGGGTTAGAATACAAACACCATCTTGGAGTGTGGTGTAACACTCACCAAATTACCTAAAGGTGGTAATTCTACTCCTAGTTCCTGGCCATGTAAAGAAAAGATAACTTACACTTAGGCAGTTTACTAAAGGAAAAAAGGAGGTCCATATTGGATGCTTTTTATTTTGTGAATAGCGAGCATGAGAACCAGACTCTTGAGGATCAGGTTGCATGTGACTAAAAGATGTTAAATTATGTGTCTAAAGACAAATGCCCACGCCTGGCCTCCTCTCACATATCATTGCAAAGCCTCTGTTATGAGCCTTAGAGCCACAGCATACTATGCACTAGCATTCACATAAGTGCTTATTTAATTACCTTGTTTTATCTATTTTTAAGAATTTGTAAATTGATTTCCTTAAACTATGAAATCATGGTGTTGTAAACTAGAAGGAATTGGGGTCCTGTATGCATTTATAGTATTTTCCCCACCCAATTCTGCATAGCCAATTATTAATATTTGGTATTAGAAGAACATGTAGATGTGTGGATACTTTTGTGAATTAAGTTACTTACAGAATGGCTTTCAAACAAATTCATTATAATAACAGTCAGAGATTTCGATATTCCACTTAAAATAATGGATAGAACAATGACATAGAAAATCAATAAGGAAATGGAAGACTTGAACAACACTATAAACAATTACACAGGGAGGATATATATAGAATACTCCATCAAAAAACAGTAGAATACACATTCTTCTTAAGTACACATATAAGATATTCTTCAGAATAGATCATATTTTAGACCACAAAATGAGTTTTAATAAGTTTAAGAATATGGAAATCTTACAAAGGATATTTTCCAACCACAATGAATAAAACTAGAAATCTTGATAAACTAGATAATTTACAAATATGTGGCAACCAAAAAACACACTTTTGATTAGTAAGTCAAAGAAAAAATCACTAGGAAAATTTTTAAAAATACCTTAAGACAATTAAAATGAAAACACCACATACCAAATTTATGGAATACAGGAAAAACTGTCTACAGAAGGAAACATTGCTGCAAATGCCTACATTAAAAAAAAATAAAGGTGTCAAATCAATAACCTAATTGTACACCTTAGAGAATAGAAAAAGAAAAGCAAATTAAACCCAAAGCTATCAGAAGAAGAAAATTATAAAGATTATAGCATAAATAGATGAAATAGAGAGTAAAATAAAAATACAGGAAATTAACAAAACTTGGTTATTTGAAAATATCAACAATATTGACAAAATATTAGCTATATTGACAAAAAAAAAAGAGAGAAGACTCAATTACTAAAATGAGAAATGAGAGAGGGGCATTACTACTAACTTTACAGAAATAAATGAATTATAAGTGAATACTATAATCAACTTTACATCAACCAAGAGGGTAACATAAATGAAATGAGCAAATTTCTAGAAACCCACAAACTACTGAAACTGACTTAAGAAGAAATAGAAACTCTATTTCTACAGACCTACAACAAGTAAGGAGACTTAGTAATCAAAATCCACCAACAAAGAAAAGCCCAGAACCAGATGACTTCACTGGTGAATTTTACTAAAAATTTAGAGAAGAATCAATAACAATCCTTCTTAAACTCTATCCAAAACTTGAAGAGAGGGAAACCCTTCCTAATGCATTCTATGAGGCCACCATTATTTTAATACTAAATCCAGACAAAGACAATGCAAGAAAGAAAACTACAGGCAAATAACTCTTCTGAATATAGATGTAAAAGTCCTCAAATAAAAATTCAAACAAATCAAATTCGGTGGCATATTTACAGGCTTATACACCATGACCAAGTGAGATTTATCCCAGGAATGGACAGTGACTCAACATAAGAAAATCAATCAATGTAATACACCACATTAATAAAATGAACAAAACCACATGATCAGTGCAAATGAGGTAGAAAAAGCATTGGAAGAAATCCAACACCTTTTCATGATTAAAAAAAAAGGAAACATTCTACAAATAGGAATGGAAGGGAGCTTCTTCAATCTCATAAAGGACATTTATGAAAAACACATAGCTAATATCATACTTAACGGTGAAAAACCAAAAGCTTTCCTCCTCCCAAGAACAAGAATGCCCTTTTACTAATTCTGTTCAACATTGTACTGGAAATTCTAGCCAGACAAATTAGGTAAGAAAAAGAAATAAAAGGCAACCAAATTAGAAAAGAAGAGGTAAAACTACTCTATTTACAGATGACAAGATTTGAAATCAAAAAACTCCAGAAACTACACACACACGTGCACAAACATACACACAGAGTTAGAGCAAATAAGTGAAATCAGCAAAGTCACAACATACAGAATGAATCTACAAAAATTAATTGTATCCCCACATACTAGCAATAAATAAGCCAAAAAGGAAATTAAGAAAACAATTTCATTTATAATATCATCAGAAAGAATGAAATACTTTGGAACAAATTTAACCAGTGAGGCATAAGACTTGTACACTGAAAACTTCAAAACATTGCTAAAGTGAAATGAAAGACCTAAATAAGCAGAAAGAATCTGTGTCTATGAATTTGAAGACTTAGTATCATTAAGATAAAAACACTACCCAAAGCATTATACAGGTTCAATGCAATACTATCAAAATCCCAGTGGCATTTTTTGCAGAAATAAAAAATCTCATCCTAAAATTCATACAAATTTTCAAGGATTCCAGAAAGAGCCAAAACAATCTTTAAAAAGAAGAACAAAGTTAGAAGACTTAAACTACTTGATTTTAAAACTGACTACAGTTACAATAATCAAAACAGTGTGATATGAAAAGAATGAAATGTCTTTCACCGCAACTTGGATGGAACTGGAAGCCATTATCCTAAGTGAATTATCTCAGGAATGGAAAAACAAATACCACAGGTACTCGTTTACAAGTGGGAGCTAAGCGATCGGTATACATGGTCATACAGAGTAGTGTAATAGAATTTAGAGACTCAGAAGCAGGGAGGGCAGAAGGGGGGTGAGGCACCAAAAATCACCTATCGGGTACAATGCAGACTACTGAGGTGAAGGGTACACCGAAAGCCTTGACTTCACCACTGAAAAATTCATCCAAGTGGAATCAAAACACCACTTGTACCCCCTAAATCTATTGAAATTACAAAAGAAAGCATGGTACTTTCATAAGGATAGATATGTAGGCCAACGGAATATAACTGAGATTCCAGAGATGAATCCTCATATCTATGGTCAATTGATTTTCGACAAAGGTGCCAAGATCATTCAATGGGGAAAGAACCATCTCTTCAACAAATGGTGCTGGGAAAGTGTAGATCCACATGCAAAGAATAGAGTTGGACCTTGCTTTACACCATGTACAAAGTTAATTCCAAATAAGTCAAGAACCTAGATGTAAGAGCAAAAACTGTAAAAAATCATAGAAGAAAACATAGGGGAAAAAATCTTCATGCATTGTATTTGGCAATGATTTCTTACCTACGACACCAGGGAACAAAATT